AAACAACTTAACTCCATTATACTTGAAGTCAGAGAAACCAGGACAGAAGAGCGCGTGAACTCAACAGCTCTGCACATTCCAGCGTCGTCTTCGGGGAAAACATACGGAGCTCCGACTCGTAGCGAGTCGCTCCGTGGAAGCAAGCGGCACGTCAATCTCCCGAGCTTTAAGGGTAAATTAATAAATCTAAAAGCAGGAACCCACGCTGAATTCTCACAGACGCCAACCTTGAAATCACTGCCATTATTAGCGCAGTCATTATTAGCATTAGAAAAGCAAATGGGGCCAATAATATTCGCTATTATGACTAAAAACGGTTATTAATCCCTAATCCGCCCACAATTAAGAGCATGTGGGGTGTTTTTATTTTGTGAGCCGAGGAAACGAGATGATTTAACAGCCCCGGAGGCAGAGAGGGGGGCGGGGGGGTATTATGTGACTCCATCTCTATTTTGAAAGCGATCAGCCGGGTTGTTGCTTTTTTTGAGTGACAGCCGTAACAGAGGCAGATTTGACTGGATAGAGACAAGAGGGTGGCGGCGGTGGGGGGGCTCGCCGCGTCGGAGCACGTTATCAGTCTCAAGTGCATCAAATCAAACGGGAGGAGGGAGGTGGGGGGATTATTAAAGAAACCCACCCTTTTTTTCGTCTGTGAACTGTGACTTAATAAGCGATGCCAATTAGGGGAACAGAAATCCGACGTGCCGTCGGGCTGCATCTATTTGCCCAAACGTCTCTGGTAACGCGTGAAGCTCGCTGGCAGAGGCCGCCACGCCGCGCTCTTCTTCTGTGGAAACCCAGAAAGAAGGAGATGGATGCTGGCACAAAGACTAGAAACAGGATGAAGCTCATTGATTTTGCCGTCGTTTTTTTTAAGCGTGTTGATATTTGCTATTTATCTTTCTGTCAACAAACCCAACAACAACAAGCGTCTTTAATGTCTGCAGCCAGATATTTATTCCTCCGTCACGGAGCTGCAATGATTCCCTCCATCGCCACAAACACTTGTTCCACACTTTCCCTTGAGTGCTGCAAAGCGTTCACACTGGCCACACGCCGCGCAGCGCACACCTCCACGAGGGCGAAACGCCGGCTCGCCCTCAAAGGCCGGGCAGCGAACCCGCCGGCCGGCTGCACAGTCACTGTTGGGTTTGAACGATACGCCGACTCGCACTGCTCGTCCGCCCTCCTCGTCTTTCCTGTCGGAGCTTTTCCTCATTGCATCATTATTTTCTTTCTTTAATCCTTCCCTTTTTTTCCTTATCTTCTGTTAATCTCCTTTTCTTTTCCGCTTTGTGTTCCTCCCTTCTTCTGCCATTCCTTTCTCTCTTCTGTGCCCGTTTCCTTTCCCTCTCTTCTCTCCTTTTGCCCTTGTTTTGGTTCCTTCCCTCCTTCCTTCCTACCTTTCTTTGTTTCTTTCTGCTGACAGTCAAGGAAACATTTCCTCCATCTCTCATTGCCAACTTTATGTTCCATGGCAACGGGGAGGATGGTTTGCCCTCCCGCCCCCAAAGCCCTCTTCTCTCCCCCTTTATTCCCGACTCAACATGCACACGAATCAAACACACACAGACACACATCTTAAGGCTCGTTCTCTCTATGAACACACACGTCGACGCACCTCAGTCCGCTTTGACGGGGAGACAAACAGCGGCTCTGAGAGGTTATGTGTTTAAAAGAAGAAGAAAAGAGGAAAGCAACCACGAGCTGCCAAAACCTGAAATAGACGGGCGGTTTGTGACAAGCAGAGGGAACGACTCCATCCAGGAGGAGATTAGAAAAACACACACGGAGTTGGAAGTGTGCATCTTCTTCTGCAGGGATGAACCCAAAATAAAACAGAAACAATGGCCAAATCTCCCGATAATTAAAACGGCTAATCCACTTCCTGGTTGGCGATGACCGTGGGCTGAGCGTGTCAGCCAGGGACGCGTTGGTAGATTGTGCGTTGTTTATGTTTAGAAGCTTTTGTGTGTGTTTAACGGCGGATTCGTCGCCCTCCAAAAATACGAGGACTTGGAGGGAATGAGGAGGGCGCTTCAAAACCGTCCAAATGCATTCACAGCATTGTGTGAAGGGTGTCATTTTTTAAAATTATAATTCTACATGAAGACATACAAAATAAAATGTCACCACTCAAAAGCATCAGGTAGAGCGAATCCTAAAAGCCGGTTGATTCCTGCTATCTTTGCACGCTTCTGCAGCCTTTATGTTCTCTTTTTGCCGTTGGTGTGGTCTTCTCTAAGCGTGATTGGCAACCTGCGCTCATTCCTGAGCTATTCCGTGTTTCATGGCCCATTTGTGGGGAAGGTAATGCAATTTTAGTTTTAGTTTTTTTTTCAGTAGCTTATTGATGACATTGAGTTGTAAGTGTTCATTTGAGGAATGTTGCGTCCTGCTGAGAAAGTTTAGTTTAAATGTTTCTTGTACGTCATGACTTATTTGCTAAGCTCGTATCCGTTGTTATTTGATCGATAGGGAGAGTAGGGCCGTGGAATGGGACGTCTCTATCTAAGGGGGGGTTACGGTACCTATGAATACCGTTAAAAACACCAACAAGGTAGAATAGACACAAGTTCATGAAAAGTTGTCAAATAAAATTACAATTAACGTTGTGCAGTAAAAAGACAGTTGTATGGCGCCCCCGCTTCTCGTTGTTAAGTGAACACGCAGCTCGGGGTCGGCAGGTCCCGGTCTCTGGCCTCGCCCCAGCCCCAGGAATTGGCTGCTCTCATGGTTGTGTGCGTCCATAGAGTTCTAATTAGCTGCATTCACAAACAGCGGCGAGCTCATCAGAACGCCGAGGCCTGCAGAACGCACAGCAGGGGCGAGCAGTGTGCGTGTTGGGGGGGTTGTATCTGGTACATCTGGGTGTGCGAGAAACAGAGTGAGATTTGTGTGCATTCGTGTGTGAGACACCAGAGTGTGTTCCTGTCTCCAGAGACAAAAGAAAAAAATGACTACACAAACGGAGGCAGCAAACCGAGGCGCCGCCGCCGCCACCGACTCTGTGTGAAGTGGGCTTTTTGTCCCCCCTAAAAGTGGTCCTTCCGCACATTTGTGTTGTATAATGTGCAGAAAGCGAGCAAACAACACGGCGGAAACCGCAGAGCACGGACATCGAGAACAACGCAGCACGCAGAGAAGACGGCTCGGGACTCCGTTTTCCAGCCAACGGACAAAATGGCTTCCGAACGCCAACCACGTGCGCGGCCGCTGCATGTGAAGCACACAGAAACAGGGAAATACACAAAGTGACATCTGTACCGGAGAGGAGGACAATCTGTAAAAAGACGATGTAAGATGCAGGGGTGTGAAGGTCACGTCTGCCACATGCGTCCTGTCACCACACAAGAATACTGGAGAACATTTCTGCAAACCAGGCAAAAGGAGTTTGGTCCTCGATTGATTGGAGTTGGTAGTTTGATCCCGCCGCGCGTCGCAGACTACTGTCCATGTTTCCCAGGCAGATACGCATTTTATGAATAGGTCAGAGTTGTATTATATCAAATATAATATACATTGCCAACCATTTAATCAGGTTTTAGATGAACAGTAACAGCTGATAGCAATCCAGCTAAATGTAGAACCTGCTCAAAGGCCACATCGAAGCATGAATCCAAAGCCAATCATTTAAAACAGGTGGGAAAATTCCACCTAAAGCTCCCTTAACGTTCAAAAACAAATACACACATGTTAGAAAGCTTAAATAAATGCTGCAGTGTAAAAGCTATGAATATTGCACACATCAATCCGTTGTTACATTGAATTCTTCCGACTGTTCTTGCACGCCTCCATTGACCATGAGAAGAGCCAAACCTTCATCCACTGAAGTACTTTAACAACAAACCTCTGACCTTTACTAAAAAAATACAAAACACACATTTGTCACCAGCGTCTCTAATCTCGCACAGGCCTCCTGTAGTGTTTTAGGTAACAAGGTTTTCCCAAAGACGCATTCATTTATGTCTACGACTGGACACGCGAGACTTCACCTTGTTAAACACTGAACCCATGTTCTGCATTCGTCCATATTGTTGCACGTTTTCCGATTCTCCGTTCACCTCGAGGGAAAAACATCAGTTTGTATTCCTCTGACAGACGAGTGAATTCCTTTGTGACTGTGATTGCAAAGTGAGCAGTTTAAATGCCTCGTTCAGTGGGCCGTCCACCTTCGCCCACTGACGGGATACGAGTGTTCACTGACTCTTTTACTCCCCGACACGACCAACTGGACCAATAAAGGAACTGCTCCGTGTTAGCGTGAAGACGGGCTCGCTGCCGCACGAGGCCACTTTACTCACCCGCTCACGTTAAGCTTTATTGATCCAAATAGTCAAAGTCAAAGGCACCATGTGGCACCAAACGGCCTGTTTGACTCCAATAACACTGCTGTCAAAACACAGCGTGAATCGATGTCCATAACACACACACGCACACACACACACACACACACACACACACACACACACACACGCACACGCACACGCACACACACACACTTCAGGGCAGGAAAGAATGAGGGCAGCAAATCCAAGAAACAGGAAGTCGGCTTCAGGAATGAACTTGAGCAGCTGACAAATAAACGTGGTGCCCCAAAAATACAGACACAAAATCCCATCATCACCTGATGGCTGTGTCTTCCATACGTCACGTAGTCACGTAGTACTCACGACACCAGCCCAGAAGATCCTTTCTGCCAACGTGTAGCGATCTATTGTTTAATAGAGTCCCCAGAGAATGTTCCATTGACATGCAATGTTTTCAGCAAAGACGACACATGGTCAGAGTATTCAAACCACGTTACACAGACTACCAAAGAAAAGCCTGCATTGTTTCTCCTGAAATCAAAGTGGATCCACGAAGAAAAAAACAACATTAAAACCCCCAAACTGCATCTGCATGAACAGAAGATGGTTTCCCACAATCAGGTTGAAACAGCCAGGCAGCAGTGAGCAGGTGTAAGGGGAAGAAGAGGGGAAAGGAGAACGCTGACGTACTTGAGCCGGAGAAATGTCCGCTCCCCAGGGAGGTCGGCCCGTTCTTTCCACTGCTAACGGGAGGGGAAAACATCTACAAGACAAACAGAGCACACATTACCTCCGAGAGCAGCAAGACGCATCTCTCCACAAACATCACGCAGCTACACGCCAAAAGCATCATTCCAAAACGCCAGGGCAGCATTTGGCTGCAGAATTTGTTACAAGCCAGATGGGAAATGTGGTTTATTTAAAGGTCGCTCAGTCTTATATTTTAACACATGATATATGACGTTTTGGAAGGAAACTCTTACCAAAGAAACATGGGGTCCATCATCTCTAGGGCTGAGTATCACTGTCATTTAACGGCTGACACTGACTGGACACTTGGGTTCTGGTACCAAGGCCAGGATGTTTCTGTCTAATATATGACTGGCTTCATAGATCTATGTTTCCTTTAACAAAAAGAAACAAAGTTTCAAATGTCAAAGATTCAGTAAGAAAGATTAAAATTGAAACGTGACGAGTCCCAAGTCAGGACACGTCGCAACTAAGTTAAGTAAGCAAGTCCCAAATGAAGACTGACAAGTCCACAGTCAAGTCCAACATCCAGCCAGTCCTGGTTCTAATGGGACAACGGGTACCAGAAAGGTACTTAAGTCAAGCTTAATGGTAAGACCGGTAAGTCAGGTTCAAGGACAAGTCCCAATAAGTCCCAATAGGCCCAAAACAGGTCCAAGTCAAAAAGTGACTTTCTACCCATCAATACATCTGATTCCATTTACAGTCAGCGTTCTACATTTAATAGAAATGAATGAGTTTGACGTTATCAAATTGAATATCCAGCGGATTAAACACACTTGGCTTGTTATTTCTCTTCTGTATTCGCTGAGCTGTGTTTTGTACTGACTCTGATTCTTTACAAATGCTCCTTTCCTTCCTGCTTTGGCGCCTCGTCAGCTGCTGTCAGGTTGTATTAGGAAATGTGAATAAATGTAGGTTTAATGTGTAGGCTTGGTGGAGGTACTGGAGCTGAGTTGGGGGTCTGACGTGAGTCCGCTGTGGTCCAAGTCACCAGTCCACGCCTCTTAATGCGGCTCTCAGTGTTTACAGACTCTTCTTCCTATGATGACATGTTTGATACCCAGCCCTATGACCCAGACTGCTACTCACACCCGAACACAGATATGAAGAGTTCGTTTTCCAAAACCCCGTGGGGACATTTTTGGGGAATAATAGAATGAAATCAAATTCGACATTTAGCATCTGTAGCAGATCAAATATCTTAAATCCTCGGCTCAATTCATCATCCTTTTAAAGTGTCCCTCTGGCCAAATGGTGGATGGCTCATTTTGGAAATACAACACTTCACATCTACTTCATATCTGGGTTTATCATCAGAACTAGCTACCATTTAGCTCGGGACATCCACAGAGAATAAGCAGGCGGAGAGCCGAGGATTCACCGCGGCTCCATCGCACCCTGATGACCTTGACGGTAACCTCTCTGTGTCGTGTGCGATGGGGAGCTCAGTGGCTGTGAACATGCTCGGACCTTCACACTGTGGGACTATGAAAGCTTTTGGGGTTTTACAGGGGTTTTGTCTTGTGTACGGGCCACGATATAAGTAAATGAAAGCCCCCCTAAACGCATGAATGGTCTGTCCGTCACTTCCTCTGAATTGCGCCCGTGGGCTGTCAGGCCGTCGCTCCCTCGCGCCCGCGACCAACAAAGGGGAAGGAATGGAGGAGACGCTCGCTGTGATTATCGGCAGGTCTATCGATGTCCCCCCGTCGAAGCACTCGGAGCTGCGGGTGTCGGCCTGTGGGCGTGCAGACAGATGATGGCATAAATGAATGCGAGCGACGTGCGTCTGTAATGGGAGGAGTCGCTCTCTGGCTGCTGCTGCCCTTCTTTGTTTCATTCTGTTTTCAAGAAACAGCATTTACGGGCGACTGAGTGACATTTTTGGAAAGCTGTTCAAAATACATACAGCCCACGTGTCCATAATAATACTATAATAAACTCCAAGAGCGGCTCCTAAATATGGAATTTTGTGATTGATTATTTTCATATATTTGTACTGTTATTTATAATTATTATACTACAATATTCCGATATTAATCTGAGAGTATGTACACCCCCAAAATATTCTTGTAGACGTGATATAATACGATTATGTTATTTTATGCTTATTTTCATTAGAGGACAATATAACAGAATCAAATATTCCTAAAATGGTCTTACATTTGTCTGACAGGCCATTATGAAATAAATTACATTTTTGATATTGTCTCTTATTATTATAACTATAACAACTTTACTTGTTGTAGTCACTTAAACGTGTATAACACCAAATGGTGAGAGCACGGTGGTTTTATTGGACATTTGGTGTACTAATACACACAACAATTCTTACTTAAACAAATGTATTATTGGTCTAAATAGCAAAACTAAGGAACGTATTTTTCATGAAAATATTGCTATAGATGTGCTTTGTATATGTGTTGTTAACAGACCCACAATATTCGTATATTAACCAATAGGAGAATATTGTGTTAATAGCATTGAAAGTCTAATGGATTTAAACAATTTCTAAAGGCAGCCTGCGTGGTCCGTTGCCGTGCGCGTAGGCCTCCACTGATTACACGATGTCACTATAGAGATTGAAAGGCGAATTAACGAGGATTTTATCACCAGTTTTTGCATCTCGTTCTTTTACTAATTTGCTATTGTGTGGATATAATATATTAGCTGTGTGCAGGCCTCAGCTGCCATCATATTTGTCTCAATCTGGCGGGAACTTAAATTATTGCATTGGAATTCTTGGCGATTTTTTCTCTTGTGGCTGCAACACTTCCCTGATTTCATTACAGTCGGGCCTTAGAGCTCAGGTCTCTCTTCAATTTCGTTTTTTTGTTCTCTTCTTCTTCCTCCCTCCTCATCTTCCTCTTCATGGCGTAGCTGCTCCCAGAGGAGAGGAGACGTGTGCAGAAGGCGTGGAGAGGGCAGCGCGGTGGGGGGGCTGTTTCCTGCGCAACACGCATTCTGCTGCTTTACGAAACTTTGAGAGGAGTCCTGAGTTTGCGCCGCACGCGGCCTGTTCGGAGGCGGGAAGCGCTCCTCAGCCTCGGCTGCGCGCACGTGTTTCCTCCTGTCTGCCTGTCTGTCTGTCTGTCTGTCTGTCTGTCTGTCTGTCTGTCCGTCCGTCCGTCCGTCCGTCTGTCTGTCTGTCTGTCTGTCACGCAGCTTCGCGATTCTAACGTGTGTGTGTGCGTCGCGGGCGTGAGGCAGCCTCTTACCTCACACACACACACACACACACACACACACACACACACACACACACGCGCGCGCACAGATATGAACATTCTCCAAATCATAGCAGGGGCAGAAAGAGCAGGTTACACAATGAAGGAAAAGAAACAAACGAAGGACTTAAGTGAGATATACTACCATGGATGGTGGGAACATTTTCAAATCGCTGTTTCGCATCTATAAGACAACAGAATTACCAATGCAGCTTCAGTCTCTGCGCACACACACAAAGACATCAAATCACAAAAAAAGGACAATTTGCACAGACTTTTTCTTGCATGTTATTCTACGCCAAATGCACTTTAATGTAAAGAAGTCATTAAAACAGGACTCCTCGGACGCGCCGCGCGCGCCGCTTACCGCGCTGAAGTCCAGCAGGTCGCTCAGCTCCTTGTCGCTTCCCAGCGCCGCCATCCGCTGTTGATGATGCATGTTTGTGTTGCAAAAAATCGCACGGACCCTAAAATTAGGGAGGGGGGGGGGGGGGGGGTGAGGAGAGGACAGGTAGGGACAGACTGATAGATGGAGAGACAAAGGGGAGGGGAGGGGGGGAGAGAAGAAGAGGAAGACCTCGGCTTCTTTTTAGTGTGCGCTCCGCGCTCCGCTTCCCGGGTCTCTCTGTTCCTCCACCGCCAAATAAATCCACGACCTCCTCCTGCTCCTCCTCGGAGCGGGCGGCTCCGTGTTGTCAGCACGACACTAAAGACGCATTTCAAGAACAAGCAAGGAGCGCGGCGTCGCGGGGCCGGAGCGCTTCGGAGTGCGTTTTGCTGCGCTTTCTCCCGGGGAACAAGTCCACACCGCTCCGCTTAAGACGCAGTTCGTCCGCCGCGGCTGTCTGTGGCTCTCTCCCTCTCTCTCTCCCTCTCTCTCTCTCTCTCTCTCTCCCCCTCTCTCTCTCACACACACACACGCACATGCGAGTGCGATATAAATAAATAAGACGCTGTGTCTGCGCTGCGCCTCTAGGACGGCGGAAAGGATCGCCTCCGGAAACGAGCCCCGGTGATCCCGCTGCTGCTCCGCCGGCTGCGCCGCGCCGCTGAAGGACACCGGTGCGCACGCAGGACGGAACCCCGTGCACGTGTGGCACAGCCGCGGGGGCGATACCTGCGCGCGTGCGGCCGCCTAGTTTACAGCCGCGGCGCGCGGAAGCAGCGCGGAAACATCGTCCCGGAGAAATGGACCGAGTTGTTTGGTCGGTCGCGGCGGGGTTTGGGTGCCTGGATCCGGATTGGCCTGATTGGGGTAAAGAAAAACAATGATTGTTTTCATTTTTCCCTTCTGGAAACTGTTGAAATATTCTAAATAAAACGTTTCACTCTTTACACATTCACTAGTTATTTTGCATACATTTATTTATTTTATATTTGTATTTTAATAATATATGCTGTACATTTTTCGCACAATCACTTATTTTATATTTCTATGTAATCATGAGTCTTTGTCTTTTCTTGCAAGAACATGGAACAAGTGCAGTGCTTAACCTGCGTGACCCCCCAGCGCCAAAAACCCACTTCTTTGCACTACTTTGTTTCTTTTCTTCCTCCTCCTCTTCCTTTCTTCCTTTTCTTACCCCTCCAGTGACGCCTGCCGCCTGCAGGTACAAAATTCTGCAAATGACACCCTGCATGTGCGAGAAACACACGCGCGTGCAGGCCGTTGGTTGCAGTGTACTGTGGTCCGGCCGGTCCCCCGTCACGGCTGCACTCGCAAACCACTGATGAGGCAGCAGTTGCTTAGTGCGGATTACAGCAAAGAGCGCAGACCTGCTCCCCGTTGCTGTTGTTGTCTTTGTTACAAAAGACACAAGTGATCCGAGCTGAATTCGACATCTCACGGTCGGAGGCTCCTCTCTGCAGCTCTGAATCTCTCGTTGGCTTTTTAGCAATTTCACATGCAAGAGTAACAATGAGAACATACATTGAGAGGCATGTACAGGGAAATGAAACCATTAACAAACAGCGCTTTGTTGAACCCAAACTTTTAAGCTGCAGAAATCAATGTTTTTGAACGTTTCCTTCAATACAAAAGTGGTTGTTGGCGTTGGCGCGGCACGGACAGACGTCTCTGTGGGGAAAGTTAGGATGACCTGAGACAGGTTGATTATGGCGACAAACTCCACCACTTGATCTGTGGAGCTTTTTAGCCTCTTTCAGCAAATTGTTTGGGTTTTTCTTGGAGACAAAATCAGAGCTTAATTGTATTGGCACGATGTCTTTTGGTCTTTTTGCTTTAAAAAGTCAGGAAAGTTGTTGAAATGCATGAATGCACTAGCATTTCATTCCACTTTATTTTATTACTTGTGCACTGCTGTCTTGTCTGTCTACTGTCGCGCACTAACCGCCAAGACAAATTCCTTGTATGTTTGACATATTTTGGCTAATAAATGATTCCTGAAAGAAAGAACTAAAGAGGAAAAAGCAGGAGAAGAGTTCATGTTTGAACGCTGTGTCTCAGGACTGTGATCAGTTTACATTTAGTTTATTTCATTTTGTGAATCCACATCCCCGTGTGACGCTTCTCTTCGGTTATCAACACAGGAACAACATTAAAACAACATGTCCTGCTTTAGTCTGAGTGTTGGAACCTTGAAACTGAAACGCACAGTCTGTCACATCTGGGTCAAGAAGTGAGCTGCGGAATTCATCCTTGACAGATACGAGTTCTTACATAATAAGCTGAGGAGGCGGGACGTTTCTCCTGGTGGGATAACTTTGGATTACTAGACGTAACAAAATCTGTCAGAAAAGAAGACTGACAGGGACAATGTGTATTTTTTGGGAGATCCAGCAGAAATGTAGTAGAATAGACCTGTTTTTATTTAAGAAGCTTTGTGTTTCTTTCAGCTGAGAATGAGCCCCTCGTATCTACATGTGGAGCGCAGCCGACGTTCTAAACAATCAAGTCAGAAATGGAAAATGTGCAGATAAAGAGACGCACGGTAACACACCTTTTGACACAGCTCCTGAACATATATAATATTATATTTTATAACTGGTACCTTTTAAGATTATATGCAGCTTTTTCTTCATTATTATGTTCATCAGGAATACAAATAACTACCTGGAACCTCAGATAAAAAGTATTTTAATTATCAAACAAACATGTGACTCCATGGAAATGATGAAACTACAGTTTGCCCCCAAAGCCCTATGGGAAATGTAGTTGGATGTGTGAACATCCACAGACCGCATATGTCCACATGTAACGCTGAGGTAGTGACCTGTCAATCCCAACGTAGCCCCGCCCTAAAGCATACTCTATATATGCTTTATGCTCTATTTGTGTTAAATGGACCATCATTTACTAATATACACCATGAACTATTGAAGAGGTATTGAAACTAAATATTAAAACCATAAACACATTTTTACAAAATCAAGTCAAACCTTTGCAATGGGAGCATTTATAATAGATCTGTCTTCATATATAATATCTGTCTGTAATCTGATTCTTCTTTCTTTTTAGTTATTGTGAATTCTTGTTTTTTTATTACTGCTTATTTATAATTTGTTATAATTTCTAACTTGTTTCTTGTACTTTGCTGCTGTAATCCTGTCAATTTACTTGCTGTCGGAGTAATAAAGAATTATCTCATCTTATCTTAAAATGGA